GGCGCGTTCTCACGCCGCCGCGCCTCCTCCCCTGGGAACGGCCGGGGGGCGGGACCGCGGGGGGCGGGGACCCAGGACGGAGAGGGGAAGGGGACCTTGGCGTAGTGGGGCAGACCCCCGGGAGTGGGGAGGCGAAGGGGGGAAGGGGGGACCCGGGAACGGGGAGGGGAACCCGGGAGGGGGTCGGAAGCCCTGGGGTAGTGGGGGAGACCCCGAGAACGGGGAAGGACGGAGAGGAGAACGGGGGTGGGGGCCGGAAACGGGGAGGGGGCAGTGGGGAACCGGAGGGGGGAGGGGACCCCGGGAGCGAGGGGAGGACCCGAGGACGGCGGGGGGAGGGGCGGGAACGGGGAGGATAACTCGGAACGGCGGGAGGAGGGAGTCTCGGGAAGAGGTGCAGAACCAGGCGGAGCCCTGAGAGAACCGGGTGGAGGAGACGTGGGAAGGCGGGGCGGAGGGGGATCCCGGGCGCCTGGAGGAGGGGGCGCCCGCTCAGGAGTGGGCAGCGGGAGAAGGTGCAGAGCCCGGAGGGGCCGACCGAGACAGATCCCTTCCCGGTGTTCGGGGTCTGGCCACAGAGCCGGGTGGTCCCAGCCTGGGCGAACGGGCCCCGAGGATCTGCTGTCCAGTGTGCCGGAGTCTCCTCTTGCAGCCCCACAGGCTCACCCCATCTTAAGCATAGACAGGCTTCTGCTAGGTGGGAACTTTTGAAGTTTTAAAAGCGCGTCCCTCCTGGTGGAAATACAACTCCAAGGGGCTTGTGTCCTGCCCTCCAGGGGACTGCACTGCCCCATTAATGAAGTGCCACGCCAGGAGGACGCCCCACCGGGCCACTGGGGACCCCAGCATGCCAGCCTGGTCTGCGGGACCCCGCTTGAAACCTGGACACCCTGGTCCTGGGCCCCCAGGGGCACGGGGCACAGTGGGAGCCCCCCTCACTCTGCCCAGTGTACAGACAAGGGTGCTGGCTCCCCAGACTCCGGGCGCCCACTGCCCCCAGTGAGGCCCTGTCCCCTGAGCCGCACGCTGCCTGTGTCCAGGATCACTGCCCCTGCTTCTGCGGTGTGCGGCACAGTGCAGAGCAGGCGCTCACCACGGCAAGGCCCTGGGTGCCACCCCAGTGCTGAGAAGGAAAGAATGTGCTTGGGGTCCTGGGTGCTTCTGAGCCTGGCACTCATGGGGCAGGGCGCCCCAGCTGTATCTCCCTCCTCACCATCACTAGGGCTCCAAAGGCTTTCTGGGGCCGGGGGCGCCAAGGTACAGGCTGCTGTCCCAACCCACCAGGGACCCTCACCAGGAGAACAGCCTGGACCCATCCCCCACTCTGTCTGTGAGACATTGTCCTGTGCACAAAGAGGTGGGGGAGGGGCTGGGCCCGTGGGAACTGCCCTTGGGGCCAAGGGGCAGGAGACGCGGGCAGGGGCCATGGGGGCACAGAGCCCCTGCCAGGGCTGCGTCCTGTCCCAGGCTCCAGACTCATTGGGGGGGTGGGAGTCGTGGGACACCAGCTGGCCTCAGGGGAACAGGACAGCACTGTCCATGGACTCTGAAACCTCCCTGCGCAGGCCAGCCTGTCATACTGCCACAGGAGGGGGCCCTGCTGCCCCACACCTGATCACCAGTGGACAGTGATCTGCTGAAGGTGGGGCTCTGGGCTTGGCAGAGGGGGCTTCCAGCCCCTGGGCAGGTCCTCTCAGGTCGCCCTCAGGGCAGACCAGCTGGGGTCCCCAAGGTGCCCTGGGACAAGCTGGGAGGGTGAGGTGTGGAACAGACCCAGGCCCAGCAGCATGGCACCTCTGCTTCCCCTGGCTCAGCCCCGCCGCGTCTAGCAAGGTGTCCGGCTGACACGCGGGCCGGCACCATTTGTTGGGGTGGCTCCAGGGGTAGGTCCAAGCGGGCAGGACAGCTTGGGGCCCCAAGACCAGCAGCAAGTACCCTGGGGACGGTGACACCCACCCAGGGACCTTTGTCCCCAGGCCAGGACATCTGAGCAGCCCTCACCAGGCGTGTGAGGTATGTAAAGGTGTTGGAGGTTCTGTGCTCCTCTGTGTGCTGGTGGCTTTTCCCGCGGGGCAGTGGGTGGGGAGTGGACACTTGCTTTCTGATCCCTAACCCTCGGTGTTTGTGAGTCTTGGGCACTGCAGTGCCAGCCCCTAAGCCCCATTCCCTCCCCATTGAGGGCAGACCTCTGAGCCAGGTCCTGAGTGCCCCTGGGGCTCCACCCAGCCTAGACACCACAGACTACAGGGCTCAGGGTGAGAACACACTGACTGGCAGACAGTGGGGGGCTGGTGACAGGCCTGAGGAGTTGGCACAGACCTGCCCCTTTGCTCAGTGGCAGGTGATCCCAAAGAGGCCCCAGGTCCCTGCCACCCTTGCCCTCCCCTCTGAGGGGGTCAGCATCTGGGCTTGGAGGTTGGAGGCCTGAGTGACCGATTGTCCCCAGCTGGGCGGTAAGAGCCGTGCCAGGGACCCGCTGGACAGGGAGAGGAGCTGTGGGAATTACCAGGTGGCCGGCCTGTGGGAGGCACTTGGGTCACCACTGCTGGCGCTGGAGCTGCCTGGGCCAGTTCCTCCGTAGTAGTGGGCCCTGACCTGGATCTGAGCCATCAGCCACCACCTGCTGCCTGCACGCCAGGGTACAGGCTCCCTCAAGACCAAGTCCTGAGTGACCCCAGGGTCACACATGCCTTCCTCTCTGAGTGCCCACTCAGGCACGCTGTCTGGGGTCTGAGGCTATGACCTGAGCCAGGGTGGGCTCTGCCATCGTCAGGCAAGGTGGAGAAGACGCCCGTGTGGCCCCGTGAAACTGGCTTCCCTGCTCTGCCTGCTGCATGTGTGGCTCTGGCTAGGGTTTGCCTGAACCCTCCCCCACCCCCGCACCTGGCACCAACTGCCCACTGTGTGGGGTACACTGGCTGGGCACCCACAGGCACAGTGGCCGCGCCAGTCCCTGTGGTTCACCCACACATGGGCCCTGGGAAAGGGGAGCACTCAGGCAGGCAGGCACTGGACAGTTGGGTACCAGGGGGGCATCGAGACGGGGCCCTGGACATCCCTGGAGACATATCTCAGGAGGGGAGTGGACCAGAGCCCAGTGCAGAGAGGATCCCTGGGCCCAGTGCAGAGCGCAGGTCACTCATGTGCCCCCAGGCCCTGGAATAGACACACCCCAGAGTCCTCCACCAGTTGCTCATCACCCCGCCAAACCTCCACCTGTAGTCAGCAGCGGGCAGTGGTCCTAAGTCAGGCTGCAGGTGGCCCTAACTGCTCTGGCCCCATTCAAGTACCCTGAAGCCCATGTCGGGGCCCTTTCCCTCCTCCAGCGCAGGTGTGGAGGCAGGAGGGACCGTGGGGCACAGGCTGCCTGCCCCAAGACAGCCCTGAGCTGGCAGTGCGGCCCGTGCTCTGCCGCGGCAGCGGGGCGGAAGTGCCCTGAGTCAGGCCGGCATGCTGTGTGGGCGCCTCGCGGCGAGCGTGGGAATCAGGCGCACAGGCGGACCCCTGGGACCTGGCCCTGGGGAGCCTTCCCAGCCCTCCTGTCCCCCTCACCTGGCGCCCACGCCCTCCCTCTGCACCCCTCCCTCCTACAGGTTCGGGCGGGGCCCAGACTTAGGGGATTGGCGGGACTGCCAGCCAGCACCAAGCTGTGCTGCTGTGGGCTCAAGGCCTTGGCCTCTGCTCAGGGTCCCCTATGGTCCCCCTATCAGCCCCTGCCCAGAAAGGATGGTACTCACCCCGAGGGGGGTGGTGCGGACCCTGGTCTGGGACTCTGGCCAGCCAGGGACCGTGTGACTGAGCAGGGAAACCCCTTTATCCAAGAGCAGAGGCGCTGGGCCCCCAAGTGCCAAGGCAGGGTGCTCAGTGTCCAGCAGAAGGACCACGTGGTCAGTCACTACCCAGATGGCCCAGCATGGCCATGAGCTCACTCAGAGCGAGTGGCCCAGTGGCCAAGGCAGGTTGCTGGACACCCGAGTGCCAGGAGATGGACAAGAGGCCCTGGGTGACAGGCCCTCTTACAAACGGGTAACGCAAGGCAGAGGCGGGCTGTGAACGGGGCAGAACCGGCTTTTCCAGCCGGGCGGGGGCAGGGCTCCCCGGGGCCCAGCGAGGGTGACAGGGAGGCCCCAAAGCGAAGGCAGCGGGCCGTGGGAAAAGCAGCGCCTGTGGTTCCCGAGGGTGGGGCCAGGTCCTTGTGGACGGCACCGCGTTTATCTGCGTGGCGGTGACTCAGCATGAGCTGGCAGCCCTGCCCCACACAGGCCCAGGTCCTGGGGGAGCTGTTGCCCCCACCGAGCGCAACACAGGGCCCCTCCACTTGCACCCCACTACCTCCCACACCTGCGTCCTCCACACCTGTGTCCCCTCAGGTGGCCTGGTCAGAGCGGAATGTGGTGGCTCTGAGCTCCCAGCCCTTTCCTGCTGGACCTGGCCTGGGCTCAGGCCAGCCCGGCAGCCCAGGAAGCTCCCAGGCCCAGAGGCCTGGCCTGGGATCCAGGCTGAGTTAGGCAGCCTGGGGCATGGGAGGCACCAGTGAGGTCAGGTCAGGGGCTACCTGTGGAAAAGACGGGGGCTGGGACAGAGTGAGGGAGGGTCCTGCCTCTCCAGGAGAGCCTCACCCCCTGCTGCCC